CATAGCTAGATGTTCTAGGGTTCATTTATAGGTAGTGTTAAGGGTCTCTCTTTCCTATAGAAAAAAGAGTATAGTAGGATCACAGCTGGGAAGTATCAGCGCTTTATTATTCCTTTGGTCTATAATTTCTATAAGGAGCATAGCGATATTGTCTTTCAATACAACAATGCGCCGTCCTATACTACGCGATCAACGAAGCAGCTCCTTAGAGCCCTAGGGATTGAGGTCCTTCAGTGGGCTAACCGAAGCCTAGATCTCAATCCTATTGAGAACCTCTAGTTCCAGACGAAAAGCTGGCTTGAGAAACAGTATGATATATAATGGTTTAAACCATATAGAGCTTAGAGAGGCTATACTCGAAGCTTGGGAAGTAGTACCCCTTGAATTTCTTCGGGAGCTCGCTCACTTAATGCCTTGACAGCTGCAAATGGTCATTGCAAATAGGGATGGTCTAACTAGGTACTAGTACTTTTATCATAATAGAAATTGTATTAGATTGCTTGTATTATTTCTTTAACTACTTTTGGCTTAGTGCTGACATGTTACGCACTAACGTTAATTTCTCTAGGGGAAGTGTACAAGGATTAAATTTAGCATGCCTGCTCTTAGTTAAACCAGAAACGGCTTTCATAGAACCCCTGCCTTTGCTAGAGCCGGAAATAGCACCTTGGAGTATTCTACTCTAAGACTTTAAGATTTTCTCTAGGCAAAGATAGAGAATTTGGCTGCCAGCGTTAGCTATAGCGAGAGCCCAAAATGGCTCCTCGGAGTATTCTATTTATATACCCTAAGTTTCTTATCATAGGAGAATGAAATAAAGGTGTAATTATCAATAACATATAGGTAAGGACCGTAAGAAAGACAGCGAGGAAGATAAGGAAGAAAGATAAGAGAGGGCTTAGGAAATATATAAGGAGACAAGGAATAATTGCCCTTTAGGGTCAAGCACCCACTAGATGGAAGAAACTGTACACCAGAGATAAAGATAAGGAAAAAGTTCTAGGCAGCCATTTCTAGCTTCAGCCAAGACAGCAGTTCTCTAGACTAACCGCTTGATGCCTAGGTAGAACACTTGGCCTGCGAGAATTATGGCCCGTCATCTCTACTCTTGCCAGAGCCGTAACCGGCTTTAGAAGGCCACAACCGCACTGCATAGTACTGTTATGCTCTGGGGCGCTTCTAACGCGCAGCTACCCGGTAAGGGGCAGAAGATATTACAAGTATCATGTCCAGCATTACTGCTCTTGCTAGACCGGAAACGGCTTTTCTATACAGTAATACTCCGTAGGCAGCAAGGATCAATAAGGATTGCTCACTTTGCAAGGGCCGGAAACGGCTTTATATAGAATAATACGCTGCTTGGCGAGAGCTAGGGAGCCTTCCCGCATATGAACGAAGCCTCTTCTTCCAGAGCCGTTTTAGGCTCTAAGACAAAGGTAGGGATTGCTTATAAAATTGCAAGGGTTATCGTCCCTAAGCCAACTCTGTCACTAGGGTATATACTCTTTCTATTAGAGCTGTAAACGGCCTTGCTATAAAGTATAAACCTTCGAAGACCAGCTCAACAAGCCTACCCTACAGGCCGGGCTAGGCCCAGAGGCCCCGAGGCGCCGACTAAAGGAAATCATCCAAGGGGCCTGCAACAGGCTCCAACGGAGGTTCCGGTCGCTATGGCGCCGGCCCTGGAGCCTAGAAAAGCCAACAGATGTCGAAAAGGCCTCAGCTACAGTGGCCGAATGGAACACCCAAGCTAAGGCCCTGGGCCCACCATTGGCTAAGACCCAGGAAGACTGGGCACTATTAAGAGCCTAGGAGGCTAGGTGGAATACCCAAGTCCAAGGACAGCCAACTAGGCTAGCCGACGAAGGCCTACTAACAGTCCTCTTCACGAACCAGAGCCTACAGAAACACCAAGGCCTTACAAAGGCTAAGAGCTCCCTACTAGTACAGGCTCGTACAGAGGCTATAGGCCTACGGGACTTCCTTTTCAAACAAAAGGCCCGTAACCAGCCTACCCCCTATTGCGAATGCGGGGAAGCCAGAGAGACAGTAGAGCATCTTGTGATTTGGTGCTCTATACCACCTATACCAAGAACTTGGCCTAGGCAACTAATACGCACTCACCAGGACCTTAGCCTTGTTCTACAGGGCCTAGGCTACCGGAACCGAAGACTTCTGAAGAAGGTACTGGGTTGGCTAATGGACTCGGGCCGGCTAGAGGAATATAGGCTCGCCCGGAACCTCGATGAGGAACTGGAAGCTAGAGAGCCCGGCTAACCACACCCGTGGCCACGGCTTAGCCGGGCTAGCACCCTACTAGCCGTTGGCCCAAGGCCTTCCCAAGGCCTTTTTCCTTACTTGCAGCAGCGTGTATCACTGGAACTATGTCTTTCCTATTACTTCCGACGAAGGTTTTTACCCGGCTTGAATGGTACGGTTTTTCCTTTGTACATAGCAGTAGAGGGTCCGGCGCGCCTTGTAAATAGCTAGGCATAGCGGAGTAGGAGAATATATATATATGAGCTTGAACCATATATTAATAAGCTCTAGATCTTCGTAGAGAGCTCTTTAAAAGTTGTATACACGATTAAAAGACATGTTAAGTTCCAGTTGTCGCTTGATGAACTTTTTAGCCTAGTGCTTGCTGATACGCCCGCCGTTGTGTTGCATGAGGAAGAGATTAGCTATATCTTCAACACTGGCATGTCGGAGCGCGAATCCTCGCGTATCTAGGTCCAATATATATCAAACAACTGCTTTCTCTTCAATGGCTATCAATCGATGATCTGCTGGTCGCGATTCAGGCTTTAGCGTTTTCTCGTTCATCCTAACGCGCAAGGTCGCTTCGGTACATAGTAGATTTTAGCAGTGAGTCGACGGCTTAAAGTCTTATCTCGTTGCATAGCCTGAATAGCAAGATTAATTCTGCTCTCTTTGGATTGCGATGCCGTTTTTTGTTATTGAGATATTCTAAGTTGGAATTGAGAGGTCGTGTCACGGTCAAAAGTGCGCGACTTAGAGGTGTGCGCGACTTGGAGATAGAGTACGTTAGAGGAAAGATATAAGATATAGAGAGCTTAAATATAAGAGCAGGATTGATATAGTAAATAGTCTCGATCTAAATAGGCAAGGCGCTATATCTAGGCTAAAGAAACTAAGAAGAAGTGACTATATTATAGGGAATACATCGAACTTACCTGCTAATAGCAAGTTCAAAAGAGAAGTGTAAACTAGAGTAGATTGCTATATGTCACAAACCAACTATATAGCAAGGCCCGATGGGGCGCAGCAAGAGAAGGCACGGCCAATCAACAGAAGCCAGAGCTGCAGGCAGCCGCGTGGGGGCAGCCCAGGTAGCTTAGGGTAGCCAGCGAGCGGAAGCAATCACGGTAGACTTGGGTAGCCGTCTACCCAAGGCGATCAGGATAGATCACGATAGATAGCGAGCAATAGCAAGCTGGCTGGGCCAGCTAATATATAGTCACTTGTTCTAGAGGGCTTTAGGAGTTCGCCAATGAGCAATTCAAGCAATAGCCTCTACCTATTGTGCAGACATTGCGGCAAGCATTGTTGTGAACCTTTTGGCTTCACCGAGACCTATAGTCCGACCAGCAGTACCTTCGCCCAGCGAACTCTTTCAGAGGCAGGACTGCCTATAGTTTTGTCATACTACGCTTAGCCTAAATAGGTAGAGAAGCTGACTAGGAGCTCTCTTTTGTTATTTTTCCTTGCTTACCTTATATATTTGCACTCTGTTCAGACGCGTATATATTTAATTACTAAGGGAGCCCTTTTCTAGAGCGGCTCATCTATCACTCAATCAACCTTCTCTTCTCTACCTTTAGACCGCTGGTCTACCTCTCCTCATATAACTATTGCGTCTAGAACCTCCCTTTTCCTCTATTCAGATGTAGAGAACATTCTATTGCATGACACTGTAGCTGCTAAGCCCTGTTACTAGACCTTTGCCTGTAAGGTGTTGACTTTTCTCCTCTCCTCCCCTACTTCAGTATGAATATCCTATATGCAGCGTGGTATATAGGTATATTTAGTGTAGTTTGGGTGGTTTTCGCACCTGTTCAGTACTAGCTTGATCGGTTCAGCTCAGAATTGGCCCTTTTCGGCGCGCTTAGGTTCGATGAGCTTCCAGATATTGCGAGTGATCGCCTCTACCACCAGGCGGTTATTCCAAACCCTCTAGTTATCGATATCAGTCAACCTGACTTCATAGGTAGTTGCCATCTTGCTGGTATATATAGATTGAGAAGAAGTCAGTCAAAAGGCGAAAGGAGGTAAGGTAAGCTGCCTAAGTAGCTAAGTTGTTCAGATATGTCATGTGGCGCACATAGATAGCTCGTAATGGCATTCTCGAGAGTTGCTACATGCTAGGTCGTGGCTGTTGCTTCAATTGAGTAGAAGCATTGTTGCTAACCGAGCTTATAACTGTTGGAAGTCTAATAGCCACATATCTACGGTAATATAGAAAGAAGCGCTTAAAAAATAGAGCATGCAGAAGCAGCAGGGCAGGTAGTATATTAATTAAGATGTAGATATTTGATGTCTGATCAAGTCTGTGACACGCATCGCGCAATCCCTGATATTCTGTCTTCCTGTCACGTGATACCCCTGAATTGCCTCTCGTGACCGCTGCGTCGCGTATGGATTGATCTATGGATTCGGTGATATGATCCACTCGCTGATAATATACGTTACGTAATTAGCGTGAATTTACCCCGCACGCCCAGTTGGTAGCTCAGCTAACACGCCTTGCAATTTGCGAGGACGTATAGAGCAGGGCCATAAACGCGCCTAATTGGCTAAGAATTGCAACGCGCTGGTGGAAATTGTGATTACAAGGGGATGTTAGGATTACACCGCGGGGCCACCATATGGTTTCCATCAGGGGTCGGGCTGGCCGAGGTCGCCCTACGTGGCAAAAGTGATATTTCACGGCGGGCCCGTCACCTGCGGGCCATCCCGCGAATCACCCACCAGACCTGCCCTGAGATAACACATCGGTATCTATACACGTGTAGTAGCTGAGTTGCCAACTGCCCGGGATAAGAGAGGGAAGGAAGGCCTGAGGCCAATAGGTATGCGTATTCGAGGCTGATGCGGGGGATTTTTGGGACTTCCGAACCAACGTCTTTACCACCCAACGACTTGATTGTTTGGTTGGCCTGCTCAAGCTCTCTTCTTAAGGGTATGCGAGATGACAGCCCCACTCCTTCGATTCGGCCGTCTTCAATCCCACTTTCAATTCGAGCCTACCTGCATCCAACTCTACGGTAATTGCAGAAATCAGTATACACAGCGTATTGCTGGGAAACCGAGCGCGGTTTCCTCTTCAATCCAGGCAGAACCCGCAAGATACTCAAATCACCCCGTCGATACTCATTCAATGGACATCCCCAACCTTGTCGACCCCACCTCGACTGAGGCCGCCGCTACCGCCAACACCTCTAATCTTGACAGTCCTGTCCGCATCTTGGTGCAGACTCAAACCCACCTCATTCCCGGCGACAAGTCTACTAAGTTTGGCGAGAGATACGACGCAATGGTGAACTTGATCTGCCAGCACGTCTGGCAGCGCGGGTACGACAAATTTCGAGAGCGCGATTGGAACCGCGACTGCCACTTCGCCGTGGACAATGTCGAGTGCTGGTTCCTTATAGACCACCATGGCCCGGACCCGACTCCGCCGTCAGACCCGCCAGTTATATGGTATCGATGGACCGGAACAGAATTGTTTGTCTACCCACCTTAACCTCCCTATTTACCTGCCGTTATGGCTATTTTAACTCAGATACGGTAACTACAGTAGTACGGTGATACGCGACCCACTCCCCAGCAGGGTGCGCCGCGAGCTCCGTCGTTATCCATTCGAACGGGTTGCCCACCACATCCTTACTCAGGTTCACCATAAGCCGAAGCCGCCAAGGGTTTATCAGTCCCGTGCCGAGGAAATACGTGTAAAACGAAGCATGCTCCGCAGTACGTTGCTTAGTGGATCTGGCTTGACCGAGGAGCTTCTACAATTTGTACAGGATTGTCCTGAAGCGGCGGAATGGGTGAAGGCAAGGGTTCCACCCGAGTCTTGGGCGAGACTCGAGGATCCTTCCGAGTTTGTGCTTCCACTCGAGCCGAGAGAGGGCAATACCTGGACTGGGTCCTCAGACTTGGCTGAGCGCTCAGAGACTTAGAGGGGGCTGCAGCACACACGCAATCAACCAAATGCAGACTGCCGAAGAAGATTGATATTTAAATGAGCTAGGAACACCGTCTCAATATCTCTGGACCAGCCAAAAGACGTTTCTCTATTGGGAGGTACCAGACCATTTAGACCTCTAGGCCAGCCCAAGGACCAATTCCTCCACAGCACTAATAGCGGAAAATTTTCGAGCCCTCAGTCTGCCCCTGCTAGGGGACCACATGGGACCAGCCCATGACAGTAACAACGCAGAGATAGACACTCCCCTGTCCCGACATCCAACATCAATAATACCCCTTGCAGTCGCAAATGTACTCCTCAGTCCAAACCCTGGTCGTATGTCCGAGGCCGAAGCACGTATTGCACGTACGTCTCGGGCCATTAACCGTGCACGTCCTATTGCACTTCGGGCCGACCGGTCCTTTGATGCTCATCTTCCCTTTGTAACAGTTGGTGCACGGCACTTGCCTGTACGACCCGCCGGAGCCGCCGCAGGCGGTGCACCTCAGCTGCTCGGACTTCTGGACAGTGTACTTGCCACTTCCGCGACAGTAGTCGCAGCACGGATCGAATTTCTGGGAGTCGCCGGACCCGCGGGACGACGGTCTCGAGCCACCACTGCTTCCACCGGAACCGCTCCCAGTTCGGAGACCGCTGCTTCTGCCAGCGTAGGCCGGGGCTCCGCTGCCGCTGCCGCGGGAAGACACCTTGTGCAGTCCTCACTTGAAAGACTCAGCCATCCAACAGTTTGACTTGCGAATAAGGGACAGAGAGAACCACGCTTTTCCATCCTTCTATCCTATCAAGCGGGACAAGTGTTGTTCGCCAACGACTCTGTCAGTTCCAGCCCACAAAACTTGAGAAACCTTCCCTAGGGAGGGCGGGCAAATCCCTGGCAGACTTGTTAGGCGTTTAAACGGCAAAGAGAACGTGTTCCCTATTCTTTGCAAATGGGTGTAGGTGGCTTTGAGTTTGCCTCCCTCGTCCGCCCTTGTAAAACCATGGATCCTGCTGCTAGGACCTATCCAAGGTGCTGTCCGGTAAGATCGGCATGCCTCGGGTATAGCGGTCATGGAATTTGAATTTTGAATCGTTCATCCTGCTAGAAAGCCGGAAGACCCCCAGAATTTCAGAGGCTTACCGTGACCCATCCTGCATCCGCAAAGGAGTACTAGATTATCTTACCTACTAGGTAAGGTGATATTTAAGGGGTATGTTCTACCATCGAGACCACCTTCTACAACTATAATAGGTACCTCCTACGTTCACCCTTGTGTGACTCACTGACGAGGCTAAAGGCGATGTGACCCATTAGGTCTAGTTATTTCTTGGAGAGATCCGCTTCACTAACGCTGAGGTGTTATACTGAACGGGAGGGTGGGAGTATACATACACACATATACACAATTTATTCCGCCCGGCGAGCCTAACCCGAAAGGGCAACTATCATACAGTCTACTAGTATACATCCTAACATAGATCCTAGTCTCCTGAAGCCTATATAATCTCCTCTTCTGGCTTAACTCCTTATACTTTTGCTCTCTCTACTGTGGGTGCTCGTAGGTTAGTAGTACAAATAGTAAGCAGGCTTGAAGGCCAATCCCCAAATGTCCAACATCCTATCCTCAGCAGTTGAAGCATGCTTACTCGGTATAGTATAAGGTAAAGAGGAGTGTTAGTCAGGGTATAGGATAGTGAGTTTAATTTCTTATATTCTGCCGTTGTTCTATCCGCAGACGACCTATGGCGATAGCAAAGGGTATCGTCGCCTATACCGCCTATATATTCCGAGACTAGTGCTTGTTATCCGAGGGAGACTTTTTCACGGGGCCAATGTTGGGGGTATGATACTGCAATTGTAGTTGCACGAGGAAAGGAAGATGGGAGACGCAGTGGCGCAGGGAAGTCCCTATGGGCGGCCACTGCGCACAGACCGCATCTGTGGACCCGATCAGGGCTCCACATCCCTCGTGCTCTACTCTAACCCTAACCCTACATGTCACGGGTTATGCCCGTGACAGTACAAGTTGAGCAAAGGCTTGGAAAGATAGGATTCCGAGAAGCTATGTCTTGAAACGTATTTAGATGGTAATAGTAACCCTTTTGTCTTCTCCGTCAGCTTCGACAGGTATAAGTAAACATTGGATATATATATATGCTATAGGATTATCGTTAAATTAAAGCGATACTTTATAGCGTTAGTATGCTAGTTGGAGGATAGATTGTTATAGAAGTGTATTTAGGATAGCGTTTCCATTTTATAAGCTAATATAGGAACGCATTGCGCGCCTGCCTTATACGTGAGCATGTGATGTGGCCGGGCCCAGATGCCCTACAATCTATATTTAGCTATGTAGCCACTCTATGGCTTGCATTCCTCTTTTACTACTACTACTACCATAGCTGATGTACCCGTCAATCCTCGCCACTCTTCCTACTGCTTTACCTATCTATGTCAGTTATAAAGTGACCAATCCTGTATAGTAGCCAAGCTTAGTCATCCAAGTCTGGTTCCTCTTGTTAGTCGACTGGCTCGCTATAAAAGCTGATCTACTGTGATAGAAATACAGAGGGAGGACTGGCGAATTCTCCTTCCCCTGCTAGGCTACCTTGATAGGGGTTAGCGCTGCCAAGTGGCAGAAAAGGTACGTACCGAATGGCAGAAAGGGTATGTACCAAGCGGCAGAAAAGGTACGTACTAAGTGGCAGAAAAGGTACATACCAAGTGGCAGAAAGAGTATGTATCAAGTGGCAGAAAAGGTACATACCAAGTGGCAGAAAGTGTGATGAGAAGTGACCTTGGGCATGTGATTGTAGCGTGATACCAGAACGGTATCTGGAATGTTATATGACGTATCATAATAATGATAAGGTAGATAGATAATATGGGGTATACCCTAATATCCTTCATGGAGAGCATTATGTAGGCAGGTGGTCTGTGCCACCCGCATATAAAACCCCACCTGCATTCCGCATCGCGGCCCACCTTCCTAATTGATCATCTCTCTTCTTCGCTAATTTCCCTATATATTGCATATTCGGTGCATTTCCGCATTAAATGGTAGCTGCGACTGAGATCTGGTAACCTTACCATAGTTTTATTCGGCCGACTACCCTGCTGAGCTGAGCTACCCCCTGTAGCTGAGCTGCTCTGCCAAACTACTAGATATACTGTGGCTGCTCTACTAGACTCCATGCTGGTCTGCCACATCAAGATCCAAGCCTAGCTCCCTCAAACTCCCAAACCTTAACTCCAAGATCCCTCGGAAAACCGTGTTTGTAATCTCCTCTTCCTGGAAAAACCAACTCAAGAAGACAAAGATCGTCTGACTTTCTCGGCCGCAGCTTAACGCATATCAATCGACACACACGCTAACAAGTTCACTTGGGCACTGCTCTAGGATTCTTGTTACCACCAGCTTCAGCGTTACGGTGTCCATTTTCTATAATCCTTTTTTTAAGGCACTTAGCATCGAGAATGTCCAAACATTCAGAATCGGTGCGGAGATCCAGCGCAGCGAGAGCGGGGCGAAATTCAAGAACGACCCAGACTCAGACCGCCACCTCTCCTAGTCTATACTTCTGCAAGCGACGCTAGAGGAGGCAAAGGCAACAAGCTAATAGCGGTTCCGGTTCCCTTATACTTATAGCCTCCTATAGTGTCTCGTTGGCTATATACCGACCTAATCACCTAATTTGAACAGAAGTATCTAGACGCTCCGAGACTACTGCCGTAGAGTCACCCTTATCTGCCTCATATATCCTCAGCGTACTATTCCTAGGTCTGCCTTGCCGCAGCCATCCCGAGGGAAGTACTCTGCTAATAAGAAGACAAGGCCTGGTCCCTAGAGAAGTACATCTGCCATTGGTACTCGACGAGACAAGGCCGAATAGGGCTCGGCTGCCTTAAGAGGAAAGTATAACCAAGGGGTTATAAAAGAGGGCGTCTAAGTGTCGCCCGGGCGGCGTATAGCATTATTAGGGTAGACAGTTGTCCGCAGACTATCTAAAGCGCACATTGAGTCTTAGAGCCAAAGAAGCGATAACTCAGTAAGATACTGCCTTCTTATTGGTAATTTTAAGAACGAGAAGACGAGACAACGGGGCAAGCATAATATAGATAGGCGGAGGGTAATAATTGCCTGCTTTAGAGCGGCTTAGTTGCCTCAAGCAACCGTTAGCAACGCCCTGAATTACAAGGCATTGTATCGAACTCAGGGTTTATGCAGGTCTCCTATGACGCCTCCTCTTCCTAGGCGCCTCCTCTCCTTTATTAGCAAGGGCTCGGAGGACCTATAGATCGGCTTTCTTAGTTGCCGGCCCAATAGGGCGCGTCCTTTTCCTATCGATAGGGCAGCCTATCTATTAACATAGCCATTATATTAGTTATCAAGGCTTTAATTGAAGGTGGAAAACCGGCTGGCTAATTGCGGGTCCTGGCTTTCCTTTAATCCGGTCAAGACTAGCTATTATATAAGCCCCCTATACCCTCTACTATTATCTATAAATATCTAGCCCTCCTAGACTAAGGTCGCGTCTCTATTATCAGGTCATATATACCACCGAAATAGCCAAATGCAAAAGCTATTAGAGCCATCCTTTTATAAAATGGCTCTAACCCCCACAGTAGGCGAAACCCCCTTTCTCATAGAGTTATTTAGTTATAACAGCGTCTCTTATAATTCTAATGTGATATTCCTATAAGAATAGGCTTATATACTGACAGTAAGCTTAAGTCTAGCATCTTAAAGTCGTCCGCTTCGTCGTTAAAGCCTTTCTTATATATTATAGTGTCAATGCCCTCTATAGGATAGTGGCCGTTATCATTCGCTCGGTATTCTTAGGAGGCGCTCTTCTTGTATTCCTTATTACATACTACTCCAGAGAACATATTACTATAATCCCTATCCTTCTGCCGTTCTTAGCAGTCACTATAGGAGGATATACTGCTCCCTAGATTGCCGGAGTCACTACTATAGGCTATATACTAGTCTGCACCGGTCTTGCATATATAGTGAATATAGCAGAGCAGGTTAACCCTCTATAGTAGGTCCCGGACAAGGATGCCAATAGGGATATTACTATAGAATAGAAGCTAGCTATATAATTAATAGCTATTTAGCTATTGTAATTAGAAGAGAGATTATAAATAGTTCAGCAGATTCGGCTGGCGGTATTTGCCTGCTTATATCCAAAGAAGCATATCATTACAATGTTTCTAAATAGTCTACTACGTCCGTATAATTCTAGAGCTCTGCTTTAAGCTATTAACGGCTATAATATAACTAGCGCTCTAAGGCCTTCTGCTCGGAGCGTACAGCAATGATTCAAGTCAAACAGGCAGTCCTCCCATCCTCTATACCTACCTTAAGCTGACCTGCTAACCTATATAAGAAACAATGACATTGAGAAGTTCTTCGCCAAGGCAAACCAACCAGAGCTCTCCGCTAACGAAATCGAGGCTGCCAGTAGGATACTACGATTTGTTCTACGCGTTCTTACCAGCGGAAGCAAATAGCCTGCCACCCCACCGCTCGTACGACCAAAATATCGAGCTATAAGCAGTTGTAGCATTAAATAAGAGTAGTTCCTGCCCGGCTTGCTGCGGCGTCTTCGTCGCGCCGTTCGTCGCCATTGCCAGAGCGATAACTTAGAGTGAGGTTGAGCTGGTCGCGTCCTCGACTGATGGCCGGCGAGTGGCGCCAGGTTCGCCTGACAAGACTATCAAGGGGATGCGGGTCCGTACCAGGCGCAAGAGGCCAGGGTTGGGAGCGTAGCAACAGACCAAGGGGATGACAGCGGTTTGAGGGCCGGGGACAATAGACAGACCTCTCTCCTTTGTACCGGAAGATCTATTTAGGATGACTTAGTTTCTCATGGGTATCGTTCTGGGCACCCATATTCAGGTCTATTTTTCCTAGGCTTGTATTGATTGTTTAGGTAGTCATTGGGGCTCTTGGCCTCATTCCGCCTTACAATTGCTACTACGAAGATCATGGTTCTGTATCTCTATTTATATAGTAGGCTCAAGGCTCTCTTGTTTTTCCAAGTAAAAGCCTCTGCGACGACGAATCCTCGACAGTACAAGGCTTCTAACACAGTGAATATGGCAACTCTGAGTATAGGGAAACCTTGAGAGACAGTTGCTGCAGCAGGTTGGTTACAGTCACTAGCGAAATCGCCTTCCGCCCCCAAACGCCTCTGAATTCTCAGCGCACGGTCCATAAGCCATTTCTAGCGCCATGGGTCCTCGTCATGGAACCCCGCTTGTACCTCGCTGACTCGGTACTTACACATTAAGTCGAGAAAGCG